AGAGATTTTGGCGCTCGAACAGCTGGCGGAGCTGCGGCGTCTCAATCGCCGTCTGCTGGACAAGACAGCAGCATCAGATGCTGCTTTGGCCTTTCTTAAGGAGCGAAGCATCAAGGAAGATGAGGACGATGCAGCAGCAAAAGCACAAGAGTGGACTGAAAAAGAAAAAGATGAACTGCGGTATTTCAAAGCCGCAAGGGAATTCGACTCAGACCCCCGTAAGCCATACCAGCCTGTCAGTCCTTCTTTCCCTAGTGCGATCTAGGAGTTTGTTTTCCTGTGTGTGTTTGTTTGTAGTTGATTTGTCATTATTTGTGTCGTCACACACATGTTGCCTATGCGTTCTATGTCACTTGAAGATGGGGGCAGCTACATGTTGAAATTTCCGCTTTGGGTGCACAGCGCGGCGTTCGTGCGCCTCATAGGTGTTTCTTTTTTTTCCCTGTCTTTTCTCCTAACTGCAGAATCCTCAGAGGAGGAAATTGTCGAAAGACAGGACCACGAGCCTGCAGAGAAAGAGGCGTCAGAAGCGGGCACAGATGCCAACTCATCTACGAGCGGCAGCAGCAGCGGCTGCAGCAGTAGCAGCAGTAGCAGCAGCAGTAGCAGCAGCAGTAGCAGCAGCAGTAGCAGCAGCAGCAGCAGCAGTAGTAGCAGCAGGAGCAGCAGCAGTAGCAGCAGCAGCAGCAGCAGCGGGCATGTGGATAGACGAGCGAGCACCAGCAGCTCTAGCACTACCAGCACGGTTAAATCATCGCGCAGCGGTGGCAGCGTGGGTGACGGTGGCTTTGGTTTGAGGGGTATTTCTTCAGGGGGGTTGAGTGCTTTTGATAGCAAAGACAAATCCGTAGACTTCGGCTTAGGGGTTCGCGTGGCAGCGCCAAAGCTGCTCGTTGTAAAGAAGCCGCAGCCCGAGACCTCTGGGGACTGCTCTTCTCTTTTAGGAGATTACAACTCCTCTAGCGGTGATGATGGGGAGGGGTGAAGTCAGCTTTTTGCGTTGTAGTTTTGTTATTCTCCCTTTTATTATGATTAGGTGCATCGTTATATCTTCCCCTTGTTCTCTTGCTTGTCGTTTGGCGCTCCCGTATCTGTTGCTGTGCCCAGTGGCTGCAGCTGCTGTTCAGTGGGGCACAAAAAGGATTTACAACTTGGTATATTCAGCTTTTTTCTTTTTTCCCCCACACGTGTGGAGTCCAACGTGTAGAGACACCAGGGGTTTAGAGCAGACCAACAGCTGCTGTTGCTGCTGTTGTGTTGCTGCCACAGCAGCAGCTGTTGCTGCTGTTGTGCTGCTGTACCGACATCAGCTCTTGCTTCTGTCGTGCAGCTGGATGCAACGACAGCTGTTGCTGTTGTTGCTTTGTTGCTGAACACATCGACAGCTGTCGTTGCTGTCCCTTTGTGTTCGTTTGCCTCTACTTTCAGAGGCTTGTTTGACTGTACAGCGCGTTGTTAACAGTAGGGCGAAGCGTGCTGTGTTGCTTGGAC